TGTCAAACCGATTTTACTTATTTGACTCTGGAGTTTTTGAGAGGTGGCTGTGATTTTGAGGAAGCGTTTTCACGAGGGTCCAGACATTAGGTGGTGAAACGGTCTGTGCTAGCAAGCCCCTCCCAGGACTCCAGGAAGACTTCAGGGTGCAGATCTGTTTGGGGAGACTCAGGGGTGGGCCTTGAGTGGCAGTGGGCCCACCTTCCACAGGAGTCCAAATTTTAGGGAGTAAGAACGGCAGTAAAATAGGATAAGAGTGCAGGCAGAGAGCTGCAGGGGAAGGGTGATTTCTGGGAAGGCAGGTCATCCAGAATAAGGCTCTCCCGGCGCTGGAGAGCCCGAAGTGGGAGTGCGCACAGAGGTCCCGGTTTGGGTATGGGGATTGTTGGCACGAGTAGAGCCATCCTTCAGATTCTCATTCAGAAGCCACCGCTTTCCAGAGACACCAGGTGAGGGACAGTTTCTGCATTTTTAGTCGCCAGCTCTGGAGATCTGCCCAGCTGCCCCCAGCTGCCCCCCTCCCCGGGGAGCCTGGGCCAAGCATCATGCCAGGACAGAAGGGCAGTCCCCCGTGGGCGCCTGGCCCACTCTGCTTCCCCAGCACCCAGGAGCTTTGGCTGAGCACAGGCGCTTCTCCGGCGATCTGGGCAGAACCAGGACGTGCAATGCGACTGCTTGCCGCTCTTCCCTGACTAGCTTCTGCCGGCGCCAACCCACCCACCAGGCTCGGCCAGCGCCACAAGCGCCCCTGACGGGCCTGGGGCGGGGAAAGGCGAAGCCCTTGGCACCCGAGGGCCCAGCGCCCCAATTCCCACGAAGCTCCACGGCCCTTGGCAGGCTCGCCGTTCCTGCATTTAACCCCTTCCTTCCAGAGGTTATTCCGAGGAAGCCCCAAACCCTAGACCCTGCCTCCCATACTCCGTCCCCGAGCTCGCCCGGTGGGCATGTTGGTCCGTCCTCCGTCGCTCAGAGGTGAGCACAGACACAGCAACCTCTGCGTCCGCTGGCCCCGCCCGCCCCGCCCCTGCTCCCCGCGCCCCTGCGTTTTGGCCTTTGTCTGCAGGTCGTGTTTTAGCGTCTGCAGCGGGAGGCGAGGGTGGCTCTCCGACCGCCCGGGGGAGATGTTTCTCTCCAATCGGCCCCAATTCTCTGCCTGGAGCCTGGGGCCTGGCCCTGCGGGGCTCGGTTCAAGGCCGGGGACGCAGGGCTGGTCCGGCCTGCTTTGACTGCGGTGGAGATCTCGCCCTCAGGGATTGTTGGGCGTCTCTGCCCCGCGAATGACTAGGCCGCGGCCAGTGAACGGCTCTCATTGAGTCCATTTTTCCAATTGTCCCGTCAACCTAGAGAAGCAAGGGGAGTGAGGCGACGCAGAGGTGCCGGAAAAGTCACCCTTCTCTGGCCTCGTTTTCAGATAAAAACCGGAGCCTGGCTCGGCAGCCGGAAGCCCCGCGTCTCCGGGGTGCCTCGCCGAGATTTTGTTTGCAAAACTAGCGTCCGTGTCCTGAAGCGCCCGGCGTCTGGAAGCTGCTTTCCTGCTCGCCCTCTCCGAGGCCCCTCTTTGTGCAGCGAGCCTGGGAAATATGGAGGACCGTCCTCCGCAAGCGGGTAGTCGCGGGGCTCTCCGATTCCCGGGTGAGGCTAGAAGGAAAACGGGGTTCCCGGGCCGGAGACTCACTTTCCATGCCGGGAGAAACAAATGTCCGGTGAGGTCTCCTCTGATCCGAGCAGAAAGGCCGAACGTGAGGGCGGCGGTCGTTTGGGGGGAGAAAGCGGAGGCGCTGAGCTCGCGGGCGCGTGGCAGCCGAGGCTGGCATCGCGGAGGAGAAGAAACAGGCCACTGCCCCGCATCCCCAGAAAATGTCAGGCGCCGTCCCAGCTGGGGCAGGAGGCTGGACCCGGGCCTCACGCACGCTTCTCGAAGCTTCCTGAAACACCCTTCGGAGAGTGCCGGGTGTGTGGAGCTTGGCACCGCCCAGCCCCTGGGCAGCTCAACTTTCTGCAGCACCATCCCAGCTTCCCCGGCCCTTCCAACGATGACTCTCTCGACGCTTTCCCGCAGTTGTTTCGTGTTTGGGTCCGCTCTGGGGGGTCCGGTACCCTCGAGCTGTCTCTTCATTTCTTTCTTTCTCCTATTCTTCCCGCCACCTCTCACCCTCCTCCCTTCCAGGTGAGCAACCCCGAAATGCCTCTTCTTTCTCCAGCCAGCCCCGTGGCGCGGCCCACAGACCCCGGGCGGGCAGGTCTCCGCCCACTGGCCGGCCTGGCGCCCTGGAGGTGACGCTATGCTTCCCAGAGTCTCTGTTGCAGCCAGGAGTTGGGATCTGGGTCGCCGGAAAGCACAGGGCTGAAGCCCAGCGTCTTGGGGCCATTTATATACTGAGGCTCTCAGAAGCAAAGAGTCCTAAGAATTCAGAAAATACTTCTCAGGAAGCCGCCTAATTGGTTTTCGTGGGACAGATGGAGCCATTAACCTGGGATGGTTCTGCAGGGAGCAAAACTGCTCGAGGCCCCCTCCCTCCACACCGGGTTCAGGAGACTCAAAGTCATCGGATCCTCCCTTTCCTGACTGGTGATCATCGAGGTTCCCAGAGCTGCAGAAAATTCTACACCCCACCCTCCCAAAAAAAACCAGCCAAGTGTCAATAAGACTTCTCACAAACTCACCGGCCCTATTTTCCTGGGGGCAGGTTTGATTCTTTGAGACTCAGGGAGGACCCCTGACAGGTGTGCGCCTAGCCAGAAAATTTGGTAAGGACTCCTCCAATGAAGAAAAAAGTGGAGGAATCAGCCCCAGTGAGAAGGGGCTTCCCCACCCTGCCCAAGATCAGAGGACAGAGGGCACAACTCTGACCAGAGCCCCCTTCAGTGGCCAGGTGGCCAGCCCAGCACCTCTCTCCCCTCCTGGGGGGTTCATTTTCCTGGGAGTAGCGCTGTGGGAACTGTTGCTTCTTGTAGCCTAGCCAGCATTCTGAAGCCTGCTGAGCTAAGGACAGCCCCCAGGATGGACAGGAGGCCAGGTGCGACCTTCAGCCATCCAGGTGGCCTGGCAGGCCACACTGCCTGGGAGGTGCTTGCCCCAGACTCTCGGAGTTCACCCAGGGCCTGGCAGCTCCCCACTGGCTGCCTCTGCGGGGATCAGGGCTGCTGAGCACCCCGAGGCTGCCCAGGGCCAAGCAGCCCTAGGATGGCCTGACCAGGCTGCAGTCTCCCCGCCTTCCGGGCAATGAGGGTACTCATGGTGTGCAAACGCTCTGCACCCTCAGAGCTGCCCTTTCTCAGGTTTCCAGGAGTTCACACATTTCCATAAAAATGCATTTTAGATGACTGACAGGCGAGCCTGGGGTAACAACCAGTGTTTGGTGGGTAGAGAAGAGCAAATGGGAAGGAGCCAGGGGGAGGAGGAGGAAGAGAAGAGGAAACAGAACTTCCAGTTGGACATTCTGACAACAGCTGGAGGGAAAGTCTAGAAAGGTCTATGAAGAGAGAGGAGGGGAGAAACCATTGGGGCTCCCACCTGTGCCACTGGATTCCTAATTCTCCTTTCAAATTGGCCCTGCTCTGCAAAACTAAAGGATTTTAAAATAAAGAAAATGAGATGACCAGTCTGGGAGCTCCTCAATCAGTGCCGAGAAGTTGGAGGGGGGCGGGCGACTTGGTTTTGAAGGCTTAGCTGAACCGCCACCCCTCCTTTCCTCCGCAAAACGGATTCCCTTAGAACCTCCGAGGCTCCCGGATTTCTCCCTCCTCAAACCTAGCGGCACGCTGCATTTCTCCGCTCTTCCGGATCGCTCTGCATGTTTCATGAGGGTCGCTGTCCCCGGGTGGAATGCGGCCGTCTGCACGCGCCTCCCTGCACACGCACACGCACACACGCACACTTACAATAAGTGTCTGCAGGAGGAGCGTCCTGCGCGCCAGCTCTGCGTTTAAGACAGGAAGATGCCGGGTTACCGAGTCAAATGGGAGTGACACTATCCTCTCCACCAGCAAGGAAAGCGGACCACAAAAGTCCCTTTGTATCTCGGCAGCTCATTTAATATTATTTATGCATTTTGTGCAAGGAATTGTGGGATTTCGCCCCACGGTAAACAATATGGAAATGTTAAAAATAGCGACCTTCCACCTACGCGCCCCGGGGTGACCTGGCGGGGCCGTCGCCCGGTGGCTCAGAGCCCCGAACTGCGAAGCCACAGGGAAAGCGCGGGCGAGCACAGGAGACGCGATCGCGGGTCTCGCCGGGTTCCCGGGCTCCCGCACCCGGAGCGAGGGACTCCGCCGCTTTAAGGGGGGGAGGGGCGGCGGGCGGCTCCTGTCACCCAGCGGCGGCCGGAGAGTCACGTGGGCACGCGGCGCCGCGGCCATTGGCCCGAGGCACGTGTCCAGGAGACCGGCCTGCGACGTCACTCGAGGGGGCTCTGTTAAAAATAAGAACAAAAATCCAGAGTGAAAGTGTCTCAGGTTGCGCCGAGTGGCCTGGAAATTTCCGAGCCCGCGCGGCGGCGGAGGCGGCAGAAGGCCGGGGAGCGCGGGCGGCCCAGCCCGGCCCGGCCGGGCCCTGGCCTCGCGTCCCTCACTCATGCAACTCGGGCCGCGGGGCTCCGTGGGGCTCGGCGGGGGTGCGGCCGCACGCCGGTGGGGCGCCCCGGCCCGCAGCGGGGTGGCGGCCGCGCGGAGGGAGCCTCCATGTGCGTGCGGGCGGCAGCAGGCGCGCTGACCGCGGGCGCCGCGCACCCTCGAGGGCCGGCTGGGGCGCGCGGGCGGGGACCGCGGGGCGGCGGCGGCGGCGGGAGCCGGCCCGGGCGGGCGTGAGCGCCGGAGAGCGCGCTGCCTGCATGCGCGCAGCTCTCGCCCCGGGCGGCCCAGGCTGCAGCGCGGGAGCCAGAGACGGCCGGACGCCGAGAGGAGCGCGGAGCCTGGGAGGCGGCCCGCGTCCCCGCCGGACCTTCGTGACTGTCTAGAGCCCGGCGGCGCTGCGAAGTCGAGGGCTCGGCTCTGCCGAATCTCCCGGCGTCTGGGCGAGCCGAGCGGCTCGTGGTGTTTCTAACCCGACTCGTGGATTCAAACGTGGCTCCGCGCCGAGCACGGCCGGCGACTTCTAGGACCCCAGCCCTGGCCGTGGCCGCCGCGCACGCCCTCGGAAGACTCGGCGGGGTGGGGGCGCGGGGGTCCCGGAGTGCGCCGCGGGAGGGCCGAAGACTGATTTGGAAGGGCGTCCCCGGAGCACCAGTCTGGGATTTACTGTGAACAGCAATGGAGGAAAATGACCCCAAGCCCGGCGAAGCGGCGGCGGCGGCGGCGGTGGAGGGACAGCGGCCTCCGGAATCCAGCCCCGGCGGCGGCTCGGGTGGCGGCGGCGGCGGCGGCGGCGGCGGCAGCAGCCCGGGCGAAGCGGACACCGGGCACCGGCGACCTCTGATGCTGCCCGCGGTCCTGCAGGCGCCAGGCAACCACCAGCACCCGCACCGCATCACCAACTTCTTCATCGACAACATCCTGCGGCCCGAGTTCGGCCGGCGCAAGGACGCGGGGACTTGCTGTGCGGGCGCGGGAGGAGGAAGGGGCGGCGGAGCCGGCGGCGAAGGCAGCGCGAGCGGTTCGGAGGGAGGCGGCGGCACCGGCGGCTCCGAGCACCTCTTGGGGTCGGGCTCCCGAGAGCCCCGGCAGAACCCGTCGTGTGCACCCGGCGCGGGCGGGCAGCTACCCGCCGCCGGCAGCGACTCTCCGGGGGACGGGGAAGGCGGCTCCAAGACACTGTCGCTGCTTGGTGGCGCCAAGAAAGGCGGCGACCCTGGCGGCCCCCTGGACGGGGCGCTCAAGGCCCGCGGCTTGGGCGGCGGCGACCTGTCGGTGAGCTCGGACTCGGACAGCTCGCAAGCCGGCGCCACCCTGGGCGCGCAGCCCATGCTCTGGCCGGCCTGGGTCTACTGTACGCGCTACTCCGACCGGCCTTCTTCAGGTGAGCCCGCAGGGACCACGCATCCCGGCTCGCTGCAGGGAGGTCCGTGGAGCTGGGGGGCGGTGCTGGCGCGGGAACTTAGCGGGAAGAAAACGTTTCGAAGCTCCTCCGCACACTCGCACAAAGACTCACACGACATTGTGTGAAGCTGACGCTGGCCGGGGCAGCGGCCAGGAGTCCATCGAGCGGCAGGACTGATTCGCCAGGGGGTACAGACTTCCTAGGACAGCATAAGGGATCTCTCTCTCTCTCTCTCTCTCTCTCTCTCTCTCTCTCTCTCTCTCTCCTTTCTCTCTCCCCCTCCCTCTCTCCCTCTCCCTCTCCCTCTCCTCTCCCTCTCTCATCCTCCTCCCCCTGTCCCCTCTCTCTCTCTTCCACCCGGCCTTCCCTTCCGGCATCTCTTCGCAGCCCCTAGCCCACATCTCCTCTACCGTAGTTTTTTGGGTTTTTGGTGTTTTGTTTGGCGGGGCGGGGAACGGAGTGGCTGGACGATGGGCCAGAAATGCCCACTCTCAACCCCTTCCCTGCGATCTGTTAACTCTGACCAGCCCAGACCCCCGTTCCAACCCACCCCAGACTTGTCCTACCATCCCGTTATCCCGGCTGTGGTCGGGGAAGAAAAGGCGAGGCCCATCGCCGCTCTGCCTTCTGCCCCTCCGGCCTGCGCTGGCGGGTGGGACGGAGGAGGACGCGCACAGGGAAGGGTGAAAATAAAGGCGCCCTTTTCCCTGGGCTGCACTTTGTTTGCCAGCGCCAGCCCGCAGCAGCGGGACTCAGCCCCCTTCCTGCACACAGCGAGGACAAGGGAGGCGGGCGTCCCTCCCCGCACCTGCCTTCCCCAGATAGAAAGGACCTTCTCGCAAGGTTTCCTGGCGGATAGGAAAGAGGCAGGGGCCGTGCAGAGATGCTGGGTGTATTTTTGCATAGATCTGGGATTTTAAGAAACTAAGTCCATGTCCTTGTAGAAATCATCACCTGCTTTCCATGCGGGTCTGCATCTGGGAACCGCCATTAGGAGTGGGCTGTTTGACCCGGAGCTGGCAGCGGATCCCCGCTACCCCAAAACGTTCAACTATTTTGCGGGGGTCGTTTGCCCAGATCACAGCAGGAGTGAGCCACCCTTCCTCCGTCTTCCTGCAGAAATACGCTTGCATATTTCTGATGAAATTCAGATTTCTCCAGCTAGAACTGAAATTTGCTCCATTGTTCTCTTCTTCCTCCTTTGTTAATATTTAATTAACATACAGGCTCACAATGCCGGGCGAGGAGCCTCGGCCGGGCTTTGTGAGGCGACGCTGGAGTTCTGAGCCAGCCTCCACTGGCCCCGGAGCTGGGCTCACCCCCCGGCCCGGCCTAGCCCAGCTCAGACCAAGTCTCCGATCTTCATGTGCTTTAAAATATCCCTGCAAGATAACGTTTTTGTTATTTGGCGTCTCCAAAAGAAGCGGCGGAGACGGAGAGTTTTCTTGGGGAGGTTTGATTCTGTTTCTGAGACTCCTAAGTATTTGTCTTTTGAAAGAAAATCAAGAAAAAAAAGGGAACTAAAAATTCTGATTTTAGGGAGATTCCTTTCTATAAAATGGTATCTTTTTGAGGGCTGATTTATGGGTGCATTAACAAGAGTCCCAGGACCAGAGGAGTTTGGGGGTAGGGCGGGAACTTCTCTGGGGAAGGGAGTGGAGATGGAGGCAGAGACGGGGCTCTTGGAGCAAGAGGCTGGTCTTGCCCGGGCCTCCCCTGGAGCCTTGTGCCCCATCCCCCACCACCGGTCCAGAGGGCCAACCCCCCATGCCTAAATCTGCACCTACCCCCACCAAAGCCAGGCCCACTGGTGTGGAGCCCTGAGTATAAAAGAGTCCCTGAGTGTGCACGTGGGGTGGGTGCCCAAGTGTAGGGTGTGTGCTCTCTCGGATGGTGAGCCTACCTGTGGGTTGCTTTAGAAGCTGCCCTTGGTTCCACCTCGGTGATGCCCACAGACCCTCTTTCTCCAGGCCAGTCTCCTGGAGAGAGCTCCAGTCTCAGTTGCCAGGGAGGGAGTGCTTGGCATTCACCCTGGACCTCTTGCTGGGCACAGCCCCAGCACCCTTGTCCACTCTCCTGACCTGGCCAGGTCCAGTCCCAGGGCCTCCAATGTGATCCACAGTCCTCTGCTGCCCAGGGTGCCTGGCAGTTCTCTGGCCCTGAAGGGTGTGGGGTCCAGCCTTCTCTGGCCTCCAGTGGCAAGGACCTCTGATGAAGCTGGGGCCAGATGCTCCTTAAAGCTGATTCACACACCTCACAAATTGAAACCCAGAGGCGAGGTCGCCACTGCCTGTCACCAATGGCTTTGCCCACCTCTTCCCTCATGGGGAATGCCAAGGGGTTGAGCTTCTTAACACCAAAAAGAAACTGATTACATGTCCTTCTGCTCTCCTCCCTCTGCCCTTTCCCCATGGATAGCAGGTTCTAGGAGGCTTAGAGCGACCCTGCCCCAAACATGGGCAGGTCCACAGGGAGGAGGCCAGGGCAGGGTCTGAATGGGGGGGGGGGGTAGTGTCAGAAGTGTGGACCTGGCAAGGTCAGCTGGACCACTCTGCTGCCAGCAGTGAAGCAGCCCCTCCTCTGGGGAAAAGGAGGTGCAGGTCTCCATTGTCAGTACCCTTCCAGACCCAGATCCCCTCTCCTGGACAGGAAACCTGGGAAATTTCCAGTGGGTGAAGGAGTCCCCAGTAGCTTGGTGCTCCACCCCACCCAGGAGGGAAGTGCATGCCCGCCTCATCCTTATAGGAGTGAACTTGGCCCACAGAGCCCTGGGCTGGGAGTCATAGAGGAGCTTGGGTGGAGGCAGACACTCGGAGCCCCTCCTGTCCTCAGGGCCCACCTGCCTCTGATTCCCACAGCCCTTCGCACCCTGTGGGGTATCCCCGTGGGGTCCCCAGCACAGCCCTCAGGGAACCCCCTGCTTCCGTGCCTCCCCTGCCGTCGGACTTCTCCCGTAACCTCTCTCCCAGCACCTACCCCCATCCCGGTTCCTGAACAGGGCCTCAGAAAGGGCTAGGAAAGAAGTTTGGGGGGGCTTTGCTTACACCTGGGAGTTTTACTTTTGTCTAAAGACCCCTGGTTTGTGATCAGCCTGTCTACTAGGCCTGCCCCACAGCCCCTTGTACCCCACACCCACTCCTCCCTCACCAGGTCGTGGCGTCAACATGAGGCCACGCCCAGTCCCAAGTCCAGCCCCACATCTGCCATTCAGCCTTGAGTGGCCTTGGACGAGTCACTTCTCCACTCGGGGTCCCTGCCTCCTTCCCGGTGCCCGTTGGGTGGCACGCCTCTGGGTAACGTGGCTTCTCTCTGTCCACCACACCTACCCAGGTCCCAGGTCTCGAAAACCAAAGAAGAAAAACCCGAACAAAGAGGACAAGCGGCCGCGCACGGCCTTCACCGCCGAGCAGCTGCAGAGGCTCAAGGCTGAGTTTCAGACCAACAGGTACCTGACGGAGCAGCGGCGCCAGAGCCTGGCGCAGGAGCTCAGCCTCAACGAGTCCCAGATCAAGATCTGGTTCCAGAACAAGCGCGCCAAGATCAAGAAGGCCACGGGCAACAAGAACACGCTGGCCGTGCACCTCATGGCACAGGGCCTGTACAATCACTCCACGACGGCCAAGGAGGGCAAGTCGGACAGCGAGTAGGGCGGGGGGTGGAGGCCAGGTCTCAGTCCGCGCGAAACAATGCAATAATTTAAAATCACAAAGGGCCAGTGTCTAAAGATTATACCAGCATTAACAGTGAAAATATCGTGTATTCGCTAAGGTTCTGCAATATTCTATGTATATATAATTTACAGGTGGTATAAAATCCAAAATATCTGACTATAAAATATTTTTTGAGTTTTTGTGTTTATGAGATTATGCTAATTTTATGGGTTTTTTTTTCTTTTTTTGCGAAGGGGGCTGCTTAGGGTTTCATCTTTTTTTAATCCCCTAAGCTCCGTTATATGACATTGGACACTTTTTTATTATTTCAAAAGAAAAAAATTAAAACAACTTGCTGAAGTCCAAAGATTTTTTATTGCTGCATTTCACACGACTGTGAACCGAATAAATAGCTCCTATTTGGTCTATGACTTCTGCCACTTTGTTTGTGTTGGCTTGGCTTGGTGAGAACAGCAGGAGGGGCCGAACCTCAAGGCCTTGGGGAGCTTAGGGGACCTGGCGAGGGAGAGGGGGCTTCAGGGTCCTTGGGCCAGCTCCGGGGTTTGGCCCTGGGAAGCCACCCAGCATAGCCCAGGCCTGGCCTGGGAAGTTGGCTCCATGCTCACCAGCAGCTGCCTAGGCCCGGAGCCTCACCCAGCTCCCTCTCCTCACCCTCCTGCCCTCCTTCTCCCTCTCCTTCTCCTCCCTCCTGCTCCTCCCTCCTCCTCCCACCTCCTCCTCTTCCCTCCTCCTCCTCCTCCTTCTCCCTCCTCCTCCTTCTTCCTCCCTCCTCCTCCTCCTTCTCCCTCCTCCTTCCTCCTCCCTCCTCCTTCTTCTTCCTTCCTCCTCCTCCACCTTCCTCCTCCTCCCTCCTCCCTCCTGCTCCTTCCTCCTCCTTCCTCCTCCCTCCACCTTCCTCCTCCTCCCTCCGCCTCCTCCTCCCTCCTGCTCCACCTTCCTTCTCCTCCACCTTCCTCCTCCTCCCTCCGCCTCCCTCCTCCTCCCTCCTCCACCTTCCTCCTCCTCCCTCCTCCTCCACCTTCCTCCTCCTCCCTCCGCCTCCCTCCTCCTCCCTCCTCCTCCCTCCTCCTCCTCCCTCCTCCTCCCTCCTCCTCCTCCACCTCCCTCCTCCTCCCTCCGCCTCCCTCCTCCTCCCTCCTCCTCCCTCCTCCTCCCTCCTCCTCCTCCTCCTCCTCCTCCTCCTCCTCCTCCCTCCTCCTCCTCCACCTCCCTCCTCCTCCCTCCTCCTCCCTCCTCCTCCTTCCTCCTCCTTCCTCCTTCCTCCTCCCTCCTCCTCCCTCCTCCTCCTCCACCTTCCTCCTCCTCCCTCCGCCTCCCTCCTCCTCCCTCCTCCTCCCTCCTCCTCCTCCACCTTCCTCCTCCTCCCTCCTCCTCCCTCCTCCTCCTCCACCTTCCTCCTCCTCCCTCCGCCTCCCTCCTCCTCCCTCCTCCTCCCTCCTCCTCCCTCCTCCTCCCTCCTCCTCCCTCTTCCCTCCTCCTCCTCCCTCCTCCTCCCTCCTCCTCCTTCCTCCTTCCTCCTCCCTCCTCCTCCCTCCTCCTCCCTCCTCCTCCTTCCTCCTTCTTCCTTCCTCCTTCCTCCTCCTCCTTCCTCCTCCCTCCTCCTCCTTCCTCCTCCCTCCTCCTCCTTCCTCCTCCCTCCTCCTTCCTCCTCCTCCTCCCTCCTGCTCCCTCCTGCTCCTCCCTCCCTCCTTCTTCCTCTGCCTCCTCCCTCCTCCTCCCTCCTCCTCTTCCTCCTTCCTCCTTCCTCCTCCTCCCTCCTCCTCCCTCCTCCTCCTTCCTCCTTCCTCCCTCCTCCTCCCTCCTCCTCCCTCCTCCTCCTTCCTCCTTCCTCCTCCTCCTTCCTCCTCCCTCCTCCTTCCTCCTCCCTCCTTCTTCCTCCTCCCTCCTCCTCCCTCTTGCTCCCCTTTTTTCCTTCTTCTCCTCCTCCTCCTCCTCCCTCCCTCCCCCTCCTCTTCCCTCCCCCTCTTCTCCTCCTCCTCCTCCTCCCTCCCTCCCCCTCCTCTTCCCTCCCCCTCCTCTTCCCTCCCCCTCCTCTTCCCTCCCCCTCCTCTTCCCTCCCCCTCCTCTTCCCTCCCCCTCCTCCCTCCCTCCCCCTCCTCTTCCCTCCCCCTCCTCTTTTCTCCTCCTCCTCTTCACCAAGGCCCAACCCTGTGCATACAGCGTCTGTGTCTGTGGTCTGTGTCACTGTCCCCAGTCCTGCCGCAGCCCTGCCACTGGCCTAACCCTCCTGCCCTGGGCACAGCCTCCATGCAGAAGCGCTTCAAGGTTCTGGGGCTAAAGGTCTGGGGTTTGTGACCCAAAGCCTAAGAGCAGTGGGGTGACCCTCCTCCTGGCTTGGCCCCTGGAATTTCTGAGGCTCCATCAGCCACCCTGGATGCCAGCCAGGGTCTAAGAAATGCGACCATGGCTCACGGCCTCTGGGCGGGCAGAAGGCTCTGTAGACGGAGATGGCATCATCTTCCTTTCCTTTTTCTTTTCTTCCCTATTTTTTCTTTTTTTACTTTTTTTTTTCTTGGAGTGGCTGCTTCTGCTATAGAGAACATTCTTCCAAGATAAATACGTGTGTTTACACATGTCTGCATGCATGTAAACACACACACCAGGCATGTATGAGTCCACAGTTCTGGAACATGTGGCTACCTTGTCTTTCAAAAGAACTCAGAATCCTCCAGGATCTAGAGGAAGAAAGAAAATGTGTAAATAATCATTTCTTATCACTTTTTGTCTTTTCTTGTTTTTTAAAATATACATTTTATTTTTGAAGGTGTGGTACAGTGTAAATTAAATATATTCAATATATTTCCCACCAAGTACATATATATATAAACAAACACATTATCTATATATAACTCCACACTGTCTTCTGTTTAGTGTCTGGGGAAAGACCAGTCCACATGTCCATCTGTGGCTGGGACAGCCCGGGGAGGGGGGTGTGCCCATGGCTGAGCTGGGAGCCCCGGTGGTCTCCCTGAGGACTGAGGGTGAACTTCTCTCTTTGCCTTAAACCTCTTTATTTCATTGCAGTAACAGTTTTACTTTGTACATAATAATGTAAACCTTTTTAAAAAGGAAACTCTAAAAACAAAAGTTGTAATTTAAAAGTCTGTGAATAACCATCTGCTGCTTAGGAAACTCAATGAAATGACATGCCTTTTAGCAGGAAGCAAAGTTGGTTTCTGTTTTTTTGTTTTCTTTTGTTGTTTTAGTTTATAAAACGTGCATTTTACAGTTCCAGTATCAAATATTTATAATCTTATGAGAAATGAATGAATGTTTCTATTTACAACTGTGGTTATCAAAATTGTGAAACCCCCTCCCCACATTTTTGTGTGTTTAAATTCTTGAAGGTTACATTAAATAAAACAAAACCTCTTTATTATAAAATACTGAAGGTCCCAGGTGGAATAGCGAGATTTCTAAGCTTGTCTCGTCCCGCATCCTCGCAGGGCCCCGGTGCTCACGGCCTCTGCCCCACGTCAGAGCCGGTGCCAGGTGCCTACGTTTGTAGCCAGAGGTGATGATTATTGTTTTAAAAATAAGTTTGGATGTGTCTTATTTACATAACACAGAATAACCAAAATAATTTACACACTTCGTTTCTAGGAGGAAGCGTTCAAAAATACGGTGCTATTCCAGTGACGAAATGTTTTAAATTTTGCCAAGTTCAACAGGTCTCCGTCCGGCTGGGGGCTCACTGGCCTTGCCCACCCGCGCCGGACCGGGCGCTTCCCTCTCGGGACAGTAACTTTTTACTCCACGTGAGACAAAGAGACTCTCTTTTTTAACGTGTCATTTTTGTTTACCTTTTCTTGTCCCCCCCCCCCTTCCTCCCCAAAGCAAAAGCCAGGGTAGGACTTCCTAAGCAGGATTTGGGGAGGGACCTGCTTCGCCCGTGCTGACCTTGCCTCTGGAGTCCTGTCGGCCAGGAAGTGTTTGGGGTCTTTGAACGAGTGATTTACGCGTTCAGTCGCGGTATTTCCAAACTTTTTTTTTTTTCTTCTCCCTGTGAAAGAAACTCAGACTAGTGAGGATCCGTTGCCGAAGGCGACTTTTTAGGCGTTTTCTGTTTTCGCCTGCAGCCAGGCCGTTGGTGTTCCCAGGCGGAAGCGGGGCCTCTGGGCTGGGCCTTCGCCCTGCCAGGAAGCGGTCTGGGAGCTACCGGCGGGATTTTCAGACAGCTGAGATCTCACCGCGGAGCTGAGATGACAACACCCCCTCTTCCTACTCCTTCCGAGTTCTTGCTGCTCGGGTCCAAGCTGCGCCCCAGGGTCACTGCAGTGGGGTGAGATCACGCATTCCCCGCGACCCCCAACTTCTGAACAGTTCAGAGAGTTCGTAGATTAAAAACCAACCAAAAAAATGTATATTGGCACAACTTCTATTGTCGTATTGGCCTCTCTCTTATTTTACATGAAGCGATCATTTAAAAAAAAAAAAAAAAAAGACTGTTTTCAAATTACAACACTGAAAAGGGCCAAAGTACAGCTTTGTAGAGTAATGAGTTCCCTGTCCTCGGAGGTGCCCAAGCAGGCACTAGGCTTACAGTGGCATGGAGAGTGTTCTTTCTTTTTTGAACTGGATGAACTCTCAGACCCTTGGAATGCTGAGATTTTTTTTTTTACTCCTATGTTTATTATACTTTAATCCAACAACATATAGTCTAAGCTGCTCCCTCATGGTGAGCCCCCGCTGGCCACCTGCTTGCTTTCGTCATGGAGTCTCCGAGTCAGGCCTGCCGGGAAGACGGTGCGCCTTTCCCAAGTCCTCTGCCCGCTGGTTGCTCCCGAGCCTCCCGGGCTCTGCGTGTCGCGGCTCTGGACCCGGACTGCAGAACCCGCCCCACGACTGGAACCCTGGACAGAGTGTTGCCCCACAGGAGGCGGGTTTCCTAAGTGTGCAAAAGAGGAACGCCCATTTATAAAGAAAGTCCTTGCTCCTTCGAGCTGAACGACCCCCTTACCCCAGGCCTAGCAGTGTCTCCGCCGGGCCCAGGCGGAGCTCACTCCACACCGCTCCATCGCTGGGCAGAGGACTCCGAGAGGGCCTGGGAGTCCGGGCCCCGGAGGACCCGCCGCACCCCAGGCCTGCCCCAGCAGGCGCCCCCGAAAGAGTGCGGACGGGGAGGGCCTGGCGGGGATCCTTGGCGTTCAGAGCCATCCTTCTCCGCTGCACTCAGCTCTGCCAACTGGGCTGGATGACTAGGGCCTGTCCCCTGGCTGGAGTCAGAATCTCAGGGTCCACACCCGCCGACGGCCGCAATGCGGACCCGCCCTGCCTTTCTGGAAGGAGCCATGCGGGTGACCCCAGCCTGACTA